GTTTTAGTGTTTCTTTGGATGCCATTTGTGTAACAGCTGACGACACTTCATCACATCGGGTGACACTTCTTACAGGTTCGCAGATGGCTATCTTGTCACCTTTTTGAATCTTGACACAATTCGGGAAAACATTCGCAATTCTGATCGGTATATTCTTGTCGGTGTTCACCAATGACTTTCCTACTAAGTACCTATCTTGTTTCTTGTCGCCACTTTTTACCAGTCCAACACAGCACCCAGCGATTTTCTCCACTTTACCGAATACGATCTTCTCGGTATTACCAGGTATCACCACAGTTTCCGCTGATCTTACATCCATTCTGCCTGGTCCCTCGTCTGGAGATAACATGAACTCTTCATATCCAATATTTAAGATATTTCTCTGGTGATCGAACGAAAATCCATGTTGACGAATCATATCCATGCCCAAGATGAAGTCATCTTCAATATCTGCCACTAAGACGCTATGCTGAAACTTCAAATTTCCTAACTTCAGTTCGACGATAGCCTTTCCCCGTGCAACGGCCATTTCCCCCGTAACTGTACGTAAACACACTCTTCTTCCCAGAGACATCAGCTTCAATCCTTGCACTGAGTTAGCCCGCACCAACGATACCATAGCGCCAGTATCCACAGTCATTCGAATTCCCTTTCCATTGACTTTCCCGTCGATCACCAAGCTGTCAGCGGTTGTTCCTAGACTCCTAATGGAAAAAATCCTGGGGGCTCTGTTCTCCCCAGTCAATACTCGCCCCTTAGTATTGACTGATTTTAGTTTTCCTGGTGCCTACGTTCTCTGGATGCTGAACGGGATCGCATGAACGCGGCAATCCCGTTTGATGTGGCCATTCCTGCCACATCTATAGCACCTTATGTCCTGGGATCTTCTCTGGTTCTCTGTCTGGTTATTGTTGATTCCCTTGTTTATTAGTAGCTCACATAGTTTGTCGAATTTTCTACACATCTCCTCCAAACTTCTGTGGGTACTCTCGGGCTGTTCCTCTACCGTTACCGATCTTATCTTCGGCCTAGGGATGGCGCTAAAGGCAGCTTCGATTTCCAGCGCCCTGACCAGTGCTTCGCTGCTGGTGGAAAATCGGGATATTTGCAGCGCCCTCTGTAATTCGTTGTCCCTCAGTCCGCTGATAAAGCACTGAGCAGCGAGTTCCTCCCTAAATCCTTCCGGTGCTTCTGGATATGCCAGGTGTACCAGCCGACGTAAGTCTGCTTCAAATTCCTGCAGACTCTCTCCGGACCTCTGCAGGCGTGTCTTGATCTGTGCCTGGTAAAGTTGGCGTCGATGTTGGTCGCCATATCTTCTGTCCAGTGCAGCGACCAAAGTTTGATATTCCTGCTGTTGGGCTGCAGGAATAGTTTGCAGGAGTTCCAGGGCAGGGCCACGCAGCGCGATGACAAGTGCCGCTGCTTTCTCCTGGTCAGTCCATCCATTGGCAGCAGCCGCTGCTTCAAACTGGCGGTGGTACATCGTCCAGGTGGTTTGTCCATCGTAGGTCGGGGCCTTGAGGTTCGCAGTTCCAGAAACGCCAGGTGTCCTTACTTGTACCTTGGTCTTCTGTAGGTCCATCTCTAATTTTTCCATTTTCTGCTGAAGGCGCTCCTCCAGATCTTCTACGACTTCTTGGAAGTGGGTCTCTTGTCTTCGTTCCGAATTTTCGATACTCTGTTGAATACGGTCCTGCTCTTCTTGTTTGTCTTGTTGTCGCTGAATTTTTAAATCTTCTAAAATTTTCTCAAGCCGGTCCTGTTCTTCTTGTTTGTCTTGTTGTCGTTGAATTTTCAAATCTTCGAAAATTTTCTCAAGCCGGTCCTGTTCTTCTTGTTTTTCTCTACGATGTCGCTCCTCGAAATGAATTTCCAAATTACCTAACATTTTCTCAAGCCGGTCCTGTTCTTCTTGTTTGTCTTGTTGTCGTTGAATTTTTAGATCTTCGAAAATGTTCTCAAGCCGGTCCTGTTCTTGTTGACGTCGTAGTTTTTCCTCTTCCTTTTCTCTTTCTAATCGGGCTCGCTCTTCTTCTCGTTCTTTACGGAGTCTTTCTTGTTCTTCTGCTTTCTCTTTTTCTAGTCGGGCTCGCTCTGCTTCTCGTTCTTTACGGAGTCTTTCTTGTTCTTCTGCCTTCTCTCTTCTCATATTCTCCATAAAATCGCCCAATAATTTGCTTACTTCCTCCATTTTCTTCGCTTGTTCCCTTGTACCAACCATAAAAATACTCTAATTCGGTCTAAAAATCTTCCAATCCACTTAATTTCTTCTTAAAGTCCTCTTGAATCCCACTTCTGACACCAATTGTTACGGATTCCGTGGGTCCACTATTTAAACTCACGATAAAATACTTAACGAATTTATTTTCTCACTTTATACACAATTACTAACTTATAACACACAACAAACTAACTATTTATAAGATTCCTTCACCAAATTTTCCGATTTTCAATTTCCACGCGGTATATTCAAATTTCAAAAACTGTCTCAGTTGTCGATGGCTCCGGCTTATATACTCTATTGACTGCTTCTCGAAATTTCCCCAATTCTCGGAAAGCGTACTTCTTCATACCAGACAATTCTATTGTCTGATTCCTTACTTCTCGACTTGACTAAAAGATGGCGCCTGAAAAGTCTTTTAATTTTCTGGCGGATACGTTGCGGTTGTGCAGGCAACCAGTAATACATTTTTAATTTCTGGCGGATGCGCCATTTTTTTTTGACAATATATATATATATATATATATATATATATATATATATATATATATATATATATATATATATATATATATATATATATATATAAACAGGATTTGGTTTAAAGTATTTAATACTCATTTCCAACTACAGCCTATTGCTGCCTCCCGTTACCCTACGCCACACATCTCGATTTAGAGCGTCATCAGCTTCTAGGTTACAAGCTTCCATTGCTTCCGTAACCGTTCCGTTCCAGGATTTTCTAGGTCTACCTCTCTTTCTTCTGCCCTGGGGAGCCCATTGAAAAACTCTTTTTGGCCACCTGTTCTCCGGCATACGCAGAACGTGTCCAAACCATTTTAAGCTGGATTTTTCGATTCGATCCAGTACTGTCTCCTCCGATGCATTCATGATACGCCTGACCTCGATGTTTGTCTTTTTTTCCATTGGCTTGATATACCTGCGCTTCTTCTAAGGTAGTCCATTTCAACAACTTCGATTTTGCGTTTCGCGTCTGCACTCAGAGTCCATAGCTCTGAACCATAGCAAAGAACTGACTCCACCAATGTTCTTCCAAGTCTCTTTTTAGTTGTTGCAGATAAGTTTCGGTCCCACCAGAGGCTGTTAAGACATCCAATAACTTGTTTGCTCTTCTGAATTCGGGTTTGTATTTCTACTTTGCCCAAACCCTCGTTGTTGATAGTAGCACCCAGGTATTTAAATTTGTCTACTTGTTGAGTCTGGACGTTATCATTAATGAAGACTTCAAAACAAGCATTGGAATTGACAGCTAAGTATTCGGTCTTCTTTAGACTAACCTGAAGTCCCCATTTGTTGTATTCTTGATAAAGCCTCTTAGTCATGAACTCTAGATCGTATGAGTACTGCGCAATCACGACCTGATCGTCTGCAAAGCTCAGGGTAAATAGTGTGTTGTCCTCAATGGGTATTCCCATACCTTGACATTTCGTCTTCCATTCCCTAAGGACTACTTCGACGTAAGCGTTGAAGATCAGAGGAGATAAGCTGCATCCTTGTCGCAACCCTTTTGTGGTGTTAATTGGATTAGATAGCCTGTGTCATAACTTAACGTACGATTCATTTTCTTTATATAGCTCTTTTATTATCTTAAGCAAAGGTCTATCTACTTCTAAGATATTCAAGACTTCCCATATCTTGCTGCGGGGAATAGAGTCGTACGCTTGCTCAAAATCAATAAATGCTAGATGGACTTCTTGATCTACTGCTATCTTTTTTTCCATCACCTGCTGCAGGACAAAAAGGTTATCTATGCAAGATTTCCCCGGTGCGAATCCGCTTTGGTCTTCCGAGATTTTGTCACCAATACTGTCCCTGAGCCTACCCTGTAGCACCTTTCCAAAAAGTCTGCTGACCGAACTGTTAATGCTTAGGCCTCTATAACAAGCGGGGTCGTTACGATTTCCCTTTTTAAAGATGGACACTAGTGAGCCACTCGCCATTCTCGGGGTAGTTTACTTTGCAGGCAGCACTGGTTAAATAGATCTGCCAGACGCCAGCGCAGTCTTTGGGTTCCACACTTTAACAATTCCGCTACAATATTACCAGGACCTGGTGACCGCCCATTTTTCATTCGATTGAGATCTTGATGGACTTCTCTTTCGCTTATCATTAAAGTGCCTGCAAGGTTGATCTCATCTTCTACTGCTTGAAATTCTGGTCGGTTTTCTGTCAGTAATTCTGCATAGTAGTTGCGCCATTTTTCTATATCCATTCTATTCAAGAGCTTGTCCATTTGATTGGTTTTCATTTGTCGGATTGTTCTCCATACCTCAGTACTCCGTGCGCCCCCTATTAGACTTTCCACTTGCTGACACCTTCTTTCCCAAATATCTGTTTTTCCTACCTTAATGGCGGCTCGTACCTCTCTATTTTTTTGCTTGTAATGACTCCAGTTAGTATCTGTTCGGTCTGAGAGCCATCTTTGATAGAATTTTTGTTTGTCATTGATTAAGGCCTTTATGCTGTCAGTTATCCAAGCTGGTTCAATTTATGTACATTGTGTGTTAGGATTATTGCTTAAAATTGAAGGAAGAATTGAAATATGCAATACAGGAAGTTTCATTTATACCTTGTATTATACTTTAATTTATTACTCGCTAATAGATATTTAAAAATCCTATAACTTTTGTATTTAACTTTTTGGGGTACCTCCTATATTTTACCTAATAATCGCCCGTTTCCATACATAAAGCGACCCTGTATATACATACCTAATAACTCACTAACGTAGTCTTCTATTCCCGTCCATTGCTAGAATGAAAACGTAGGAGTGGCAATTTTTAAAAGCGAATGGTATGCTTTAAATCCGAAAGTCGCAAAAGCAATGCAAATGATGATGGTCAGAGCCCAAAGACCTTTAGTGATGACGATTGGTCCCATGGGGGAAGTAAATGTAACATCTCTAATTCAAGTAAATATACCTCTTAGGAGTTTAACAGCGGAGAAACTTCCATTGGTGTGGAATATACCGGGCAGAATAAAATAAAACATTTGATATTATACACTCAGATGCAAAAAAACGCAACAGAGAAAATTTGGGTCAAATTTAAACTGTTATATTTTTGTTATTTTTAGCCCTATTTTCATGAATTTTTTAGCAAGCTGTATATAATTATATCAACTTTAATTTGTAAACTCAGTTTTTTATAAACTTTAGTATTTGGCATATTGTTACGTTTTTCGTCGGTTCCGTGTGGATAGAAAGTCACAATTTATTTAAACACTATTTATTTAACACTAATTAACAAAAACAATAACTTATAGAAACGATTTATAGCTAAGAATTTATTTTGAATTTTAGTGCGTCAACTGCACTGGTATATTTATAACTGCCCCCTGTAGGCCACAGCCGCCGGCTTTTATACCGACAGGTAAAGAACTCTAGAATAGTCCATAGATCAATGACTAAAGAATCCAAGGACAAATAACACCCGACAGCAAATTGTGACGCTGGCATCAAACAGTGCCGTGGCACATATTTTTCTTAACCTAGCTGTTTGAAGCAATATTTATATTTTTTGATAATTGTTTTGACTACGCCTATGGTGTATCATCCTAACTAATTACGAAAAAAACGTACTAAAATGTTAACAAAAGATACAAAACTAGTATCGACATTATAGCACATATCAAGTACATGTAGATGTTAATTGAAATTGAAGAATAATTATCGAATTCAATAAGAAAACGCTAAAAAGTTGGAGTGGACTGTTTATTTACCTATGAAACGTAACTCCTGGCTCTTTCTTGTCGCTGTGGCTTTTACACTTGAAAGCTACACAATTCACCATTGTAACAAAGTTTATACAAAGTTCACTACACACAACAAACTATTAAAAATCGCTAAAATTGTCGCTGGTGACTGGATGATGACTCACTGTTTGGCATCAAACGAATGGCGTCTAACGTCACAAATTCTACTACAGCCCGTACAGGGGCGTTACATGTCCTTATATTCTTTAGTCATTGCTATAGATCGTTAGGTGCGTAGAGAAGGTTTTCGAATGTTCTCGTATGTACTAGTCCATTCCAGTGGGACTCGATTCTTCTCGAACGAATGAATCATTACGGTGTCTTTAATGCGATGTTAAGGTCATCTGAGGGCGGGACATATAGTTAGGTTAAGTCGAGTCCACACCGGTCCGCAACACTGCCCCCTTCTTAGGTACATGCTCGTCCCGAGATGTACACGGTGAATGAAGGTATTTGCAAAGCTGGCCCCTGGTACATTGCGAAGTCTGGAAGAAATAGCAGTCTACAGTTTTCTCTCCCGATCTCAGCTTTGGGTTGTAGCAGCAAACAAGGATCTCGATTCCCGTAAATCTGAACAAGACTTCAATCATGTTCCGGATTGTACGCCAACTCAAACCATCGAGTCCACACGCCAGCTTCGGTATGGCTAATCGTGTAATGATGTTGTTTAGCAAGGCTTCTCTGAGTTCAATCAGGGTGTTCCATAGATTGAGATAAGTCGGCTTACTCGGCGACCATTCCTTAGTGACTAGGTAGAAGATGTGTCTTGCTTGACCATGTGCATTGTCGGTTAGCCTCAAGACGCTTCCAACCTCTGGATCCTGTCGGCGTAGTTCTCTGACACGCCCAAACTTCTCATTGAACGTCGCAGCGATTCCTCTGGACATCCGCAAACCTCGGGCCACACAATGAGCGAGCGAATAATCAGGAGGCACGGAAAAGAGGTCTCGTTGATCTTCTTTGGTTACACCATAGCGAGCCTTCTCACTGCTGTTGTATCGGGCCATGAAATCGTCAAAGGACATCTCCGAATCAGGGGGATCAAAGCTGCAGGTTCTCACGGTCCCAGCACGATCTTCTATTTCGCCTTGGTAGGGGCTCAAACGGTTGAAATGGACTACCCTCGGTTTTCCTTTTGGCAATTTTCTGATACGGTATACGACGTCATTAATTCTATCCATGACTTCGTATGGCCCTTCCCACGAGGATTGTAGCTTCGGAGATAACCCACGACGTCTCTGCGGGTTATATAGCCACACCAACTTCCCTGGTTGGTATCCTCCATGCTCAGCTTGAATGTCGTAGTGTTCCTTCATTCGGTCACTAGCACTTTGAATATTTAGGCGGACTCTCTGATGAATGTCGTCCATCCTTTGACGTAGTGTGTGGACATAATCTTCTCCGGCGACTTCTTCTCCCGGTCGGCAACCAAATTTCAGATCACAGGGTAGGCGCACTTCCCGTCCCATAACGATGCTGGCTGGAGTTTGCCCTGTAGATTCTTGGACGGATGAACGGTAGGCCAACAGGAACAGGTGAAGAAATTTGTCCCAGTCTCTTTGGTGGTCAGAGACTACTTTGGCCAGATAACGGTTGATAGTTCTGTTCATGCGTTCAACCATCCCATCGGATTGTGGATGTAGAGCAGTCGTCCTGGTCTTGCGGATGTTCAGGACTTCACAGACGCCTTGGAACAGATTGGACTCAAAGTTTCTTCCCTGATCTGAATGAAGCTCCATGGGAACACCAAACCTGCAGATCCATTCTTTAACAAGGGCATCAGCAATCGTGGACGCTTCTTGATTTGGCAACGCGTAGGCCTCGACCCATTTGCTGAAGTAATCCATTACTACCACAATGTATTTGTTGCCATCGTTCGTCTCCGGGAAAGGACCAGCCACGTCGATCGCTATTCGTTCGAAGGGACTACCAACATTGTACTGGCGCATAGGGGCTTTACCACGCTTTTGTGGCCCATTAATGGCTGCGCAAATGTCACATTTCTTACACCAGGCCCTCACATCTTCTTTGCAGTTCACCCAGTAGAACCGTTCACGCAGCTTGCCAAGTGTCTTGGTAACACCAAGATGTCCTCCGCTGGTTCCATTGTGAACTTCCTCCAAGACTTCTGGGACCCTCTTCTTTGGAATGACGATCTGCCTTCTCTCTTCTTGTCCCTCCGGTCTCTCGATCACACGGCGAAGTAGTCCGTTATCTATTACCAAGGAATTCCACTGAGCCCAGTACGACTTTACGTTCGGCGAATATCTGCAAACTTCTTCCCACGTTGATCTTTGGCCTGTGTTTTTCCAGTTAATTACTAAACCTAATTCTGGGTCACTGGTTTGGTCATTTGCAAGATCTTCGAGTTGCCAACTATCATTAACCACAGTTGTTCTTAGGAGTTTCACTTCTTTCTCTTCTGCTCGGGAACAATGCTTACAGTCCTTAGCGCAAGGTCTTCTGGAAAGTGCGTCGGCATTCCGATGGATTGCCCCAGCTCGATGTTCTGTGTCGAAGTCAAATTCTTGTAATCGTTCAATCCATCTAGCTACCTGCCCTTCAGGATTCTTAAACTGCAACAGCCATTTCAAAGCAACATGGTCTGTTCTTAACAAGAACTTTCTTCCATAGAGATACTTGTAGAAGTGTTCCACTGCTTTAACTACTGCTAGTAATTCTCGTCTGGTTACACAGTAGTTCCTTTCCGGTTTTGACAAGGTCTTACTGAAATAACCAATGACTTTTTCTTGACCATCCTGAATCTGAGACAGGACGGCGCCTAACGCAACATTGCTAGCGTCGGTATCCAATATAAAGTTTCCGTTGCCAAGAGGGTAGCTAAGTATGCGCGCACTAGTCAGGGCCTTCTTCAATTTTCAGAATGCCTCGTCAGAATCTGAGTCCCAAGAGAAACGCCTCTCGCCTTCGGTAAGTCTGGTCAATGGTTTTGCGATGGTGGCGGAAACCCTGTACATAGCGGCGATAGTATGTGCATAGTCCCAAAAAGCTTCGTAGTTCATGTTTATCTTTAGGTATTGGCCACTCTTCCACTGTCTTGGTCTTCTGTGGATCTACCGCAACTCCTTGGGAGGAGACTACATGTCCCAAGTAGTGTACCTTTTCTTGACACAGATGACATTTCTTGGGGCTAAGTTTCAAACCAGAGCTCCCTAGTCGCTTGAAAACTTCTTCCAAATTCTTCAGATGATCGTCAAAGGATTTCCCAACCACTATGATGTCATCCAGGTACACTAAACAGGTAGTCCAGGATAGTCCCTTTAAAACAGACTCCATTAGTCTCTCAAAGGTAGCTGGCGCGTTGCACAATCCAAAAGGCATGACGGTAAATTGCCACAGTTCGGAGCCCACCGAGAACGCTGTCTTCTCTCTGTCTTTCGGCGCCATGTCGACTTGCCAATATCCACTCTTCAGATCTAACGTAAAGAATATCGTTGACCCCGCCAGTGTGTCTAGAGTATCGTCTATCCTCGGCAGGGGATAGCTATCCTTCTTGGTAACATTATTGAGCTGCCGATAATCAACACAGAACCTGGTGGTACCGTCTTTCTTCTTTACTAGTACTACCGGCGATGTCCACGGGCTGTTAGATGGTTCGATGACACCCTCTTCTTTCATTTCTCGAAGGATTTTGTCAGCTTCTTCACGTTTGGCGAGCGGAAGTCTTCTCGGATTTTGTTTGATTGGTCGTGCATCTCCGGTGTCAATTTTATGTTGTACTAAATTGGTACGACCTCTATCTCCTGCTTCTCCTTTATCAAACACGTCTTGATACTTGATTATTAGGTTTCTCAATTTTCTACTATTTTCGGGAGATAATCCTTTAACGTTTACTAACTCCTTCACCATTTTGTCCGGAATTTTTGAAGTCGAAACTTGGAGGCTTCCACGCTTCGAATGACTGAGGAGCCGAACAACAGTACCCTAAAAGGGTTCCCTTCTTCAAGGATACAGAATAATAATTTGTGTTCATTACTCTCGCCGGTACAGTTTTCTTCGCTCGTAGCAGGGCTTTTCCAACAGCGATCCCCCGTCCTATTTCGCTGTCATGGTTCCTTGGCTCCAACAGAATAATACTCCCATTATTCATTTTATCTTCCAGGCAACCATCCAAAAATATCTCACAGCGCTCAGGGA